TAGCATTTTTAATTATTGACATGGTACATATATAAAATCTGGTAAGAAATAAATTGATTTTGAAAAGCTACAAAAGGTAGGTTTTCAAATTCTTTATAAATTTGGTATTTTATAATCAGTTTCAAAAGATGTGTTTTTAGGCAACGATTTTTGTGTGTAACCAAAATACACCTCTATTTATCGTTCAGCAATTCAAAATAGACAAATAAATCTATGTCTCATGTGTTTAATCTATATGGTCAGTGTTTTATAATTTTAATCTATAAATTTTTATGTTCCACAATTTTGACCATATGCCTTCTTATAAATAAGCACATTTAAGAGAAAATCTCTGTTTCATTAACACCTAAACTTTAACCAAATTCAATATCCATGCACACTCATACAATTAATTAATTATTAATTTAACCAAGGATATAATTTACAAAACCACAATTGTAATAAAAAAAGAAGTGATATAGATAAAAATTAAATAAACATTATGAGACTGGCTGAGCAAATGACGTTTGGGTATTAATAGAAAATCAAACCCATGTTGAATCTAACAGCTTACAACAAAAAAATTTGAATCACACTAAGAAAACATATAATTCTTATGGATTTAGAACTTCATTTGACCGTGACTGATAACTTTCTTATCGAGCTGGAACACCTCCCCGAGAATGTCAGTGTTAATCTCAGGTGTAGATCCGAACACAGTGTTTGCAAGTTGAACAGAGCCAGGGTTTTGGCTATTGAGAGATGCATACGCAACAGCGGGAACTTTCTTTGGGTTTTTTTGATAGTGGACCAGGCCAATTGGGAAGACAAACACATCACCCTTCTGGAGAACCTTTGTGAAGAGACGATACTCGGGGCTTGAGGTCACAAATCCGACTTCGAGGGTGCCTTCGATGACGGTAAGGATCTCGGAGCCACGAGGGTGAAGGTGAAGAGGGTTGATTCCTCCAGGCCGGAAGTCGATGCGAGCAAAAGAGATGCCGAGAGAGTTGAGCCCTGGAATATGTTGGGCATTCAAGAGGGTTACCTTTGAGCCTAGAGGGCTTGATATGTTTTCAGGTTTGTGAAGTCCGGTGTAGAAGAAATCATTTTCATGAACCAGCTTCAAATCCTTACAGACTGCCCCGCTCGCCGTCACTGCATTGTGCTAGAAATTTATAATGAATGACAAGAATAATACATAAGACCAAAGAAATACTTGTATAGAACAGTCTTATCATATTTTATTGTTAATTTTCAAAACCATCTTTTACGGTGTTAGATATTGATGAATGAAAATAGGTAATTATTTATGAATCATGGTGATTGGTAGATGAAAGAGAAATTTTTGTCAAATATGTAACAGCACATCTATTGGCCGGTCTCACCGCATCAGCGAAAATAAATAGTGAAACTATTTCATGTAAGTATTTCTCATGCATAAAGTAATTAGGGTTTGTAGAATTACCTGGACTTTTTGGGTCTGCCACACAAATATCAAATAGAGGATTGTTATCTGCTGCCAATACAAGGGAGAAAGAAAGAGCGAGGAGGCCAAACAAGAAAATATTATGTGAGGCCATTTGAAAATGTAATTAAAAATAAAACTCTAATTACAATGACTAATGGCTTTAAGATATGAGAGAAGAAGAATTTGCAGTTTCTTTATATAGAGTAAAACTGCAAACCTTCTTCCGTAGCAGCCTTGTTTAGCTGTCCAAGACCACATAATTCAGAATGATAAAAAAAAAATACACCAAAAATAAACCAATTTTGCCAATTTGTTTACTTCTTTGTTTAGCCTAAAAGTTGGATGGTTCCCCGAAATTTTCTTCTCTTTTACCGAAGTCAATCGCAATCAGGATCAAGAATAATTTAATCCATGTATTATTATATGCTAACAAATAGGATCATTGGGAAGTATTACATGGGATGCAATTGATAAACCAATATTAATATTGCTGGTTTTTAATTGAATATTTACATGACACTAACTCATCTTATTATACATTGGCAAAATATTTCTGTTGCGTTAAAGATTTTTTTGATGTATCCTTATANGCAGGCGATATAAGCTAAAGTGCAATTGCTACATTTGAGAATTCATTAGTAACTACACCTTCATCACTAAACTGTGATTATCTTAAATTTTGTTTTTTGTTTGTGTTGAAGTGCAAAATAGAATACAAATAATATGTTTCCTTAATTTTGAAACAATATTATGTTTCCTTATTAGATAGCTTAATTTTTGTACAAATAGGCAATATCGATTCAATTATAATTAATTCAATTCATTGAGTTTCATTTGTTCATAATCCCAACATGGTATCAAAGCTTCCGAGTTGAATCAGCTTTCGCTCAACTAACCTCTCTCTTTTGTCCCTACAATTCAAACAAATACTTAGTTAGCACAATACTCAATTAGCCTCTTTTTCTATCCTTACAATTCAAATAGATACTCGGTTAGAATTTCCCATGGCAAACAATCAAAGCTCAAACTCTGACATAATCACCAATATTTGCATCTTTTACGCAAGTTTATGGTTTATGACCACAAACTTGAGGGGGAGTGTTGAAGTTCAAAATGGAATGCAAATAATATGTTTCTTTAATTGTGAAACAATATTATGTTTCCTTATTTTAGGAGATTTTAGATATTATTACAATATTATGTTTCCTTATTATATAACTTAATTTTTGTATAAATAGGCAATACTGATTCAATTATAATCAATTCAATCATATTTGAATTTACTAAATTATCTCATTGAGTCTCATTTGTTCATAATTATGGCAATTTAATATTTTCTTGTAGAATTCAGCTCCAATGGCAAATTAAAAAAGAGAGGGTGCACAAGTAACCAGCATGAGAATATCAGGAGATAAGGCAGCGTTCCACAATTGCAACTTTATAGGTTATCAAGGCACGGTTGATTTCATTTTTGGAAATGGCTAGTCCCTCTATTTGGTACTTCCACCCCGCTCATTATTATTATACCCTAAGTTATTTTAAGATGTACAATATGAAATATAAATTTAAAAGATGAANATTGAATTGGGTTGAGACTAAAACATAAAAGTTGTAGCCCTTTCTCTAAGCTTTAAAAGGAGACCAAAATTGTAGCAATCCAATGTGTATAACTCAAGTTATGCCTTCTTGAGTGTGACCTGTGCAGAATGACTATCTTGATACAATATTGCATTTGTGCATTTCATAAGTGCATTAAGTAAGAAACTTTAAGCATGAACCATCCTTATGCATTAATTGTGCATTAAGAAGTAGTTTGAGAAAAAGTAGAGAACTTTGTGAATGAGCTACTCTAAAAGTAAAGAGAATGAGAAAAATCTAAGAATGGGTTGGTGCTTTGTGAACTCCACCCGGAAGTCATGAAGAGTGGGTTGGTGCTTTGTGAACTCCCCCCGGTCGTGCTTCCAGTAAGATGAGGCCATGACATTCAAGTGAGATAGAATAAAGAGAGAATGAGTAAAGTTACGAAGAGCGGGTTAGTGCTTTGTGAACTCCACCTGGCCGTGCCTCCGGTAAGATGAGGTCGTGACATACAACAGAAAATTAATAAAAGAGAGCTATGTGAAAGAGAAACAGAAAGAGAAAATAAATGAGATGAGAAGAGTGTAAGAAAAGAATTAAGAGAAAGAGTTACGGGGATAGACGAGTAGATGATTTACTTACTGAACATTATTTTGTGCTCGTCCCATTGTTTCTCTTTGTGTTTGCAGGATCTAGATGAGGACGCGGTTAGATGGGTGTCGGGAAGCGAGGAACAATAGCTACACTGTCCACTGTTTTTGATAACTTTTACAAATGATATCTTATTTTGTATAAAAAATGATTATATGTAAGTAAAAAAAAAAAAAAAAAAAAAAATTCAGGCCCATTTACTTTTGCTAATATAAATGTATTTTACTTGATATATTTCTATGAGTATCCTAGTATGAAGCAGTTATTACAGACCTATCGAATCTGGTCAACCGTGCGTCAATCTGGCCGAATACGGTTAAATCTGTGACTATTTGCGACCATGGTCTGGCCGTTTTCGGTCAGATCTATAGCCATCTGGTTGAAAATAACCAGATCGATGCACGGTCAACTAGATTCGGTCGGTAGTGCATAGTTCTAATAACTGCTGGTAGCAGTGGGCAATCGTTTTGGGTGGATGAGGTATTTCGGGTATTATTCATGTAAATAGTGAGGGTATTTCTGTTCAAAAAATTAATTTATGAGGTTATAGAAGTCATTTTTCACATTTGGGCTAATTGTTATTTAGTAGATATATAAGGGCATTTATATCCAAAATGTTTATTAATTACAAGTAAAATTGGTGTAAACAGTGAATTACTTTGATAATAAAAAAATAACACCCTTTCAGACGGTAATTGATTACCCCTTATATTATCTACAATAATCACTATTGGTATTGGTCGGTTACTAGAATCTTTCATCACTTAACACCCAAACGTGGTAATTATCAGATTAAAAGATAGATTATCAGTGTTATCTTTTATGACCCCGAACCAAACGCACACTGCGATCAACATTCCCTGAACAAAACGTCCTCTCAAGGAGTACCAAATTATATTTCCGACAAAACTAGGGTGAAAAAAATAAAATAAATTACTCATATACAAGTAGTAAAATTCTTAAAAGAATTCAAAAATATATCTAAGAGAGAATTCGATTTGTTTCATTATCACCTAAATTTCATCTTATGTAAATATCTATGCTATTGTTGCTTCTTCACTGCTTTAATTAAAGCTCCAAATTTAAAAACCATGCACACTCATAAAATTAAATTATTAATTGTACCAAGGATATCATTTACAAGGTAATAGATAATAAGTACTATAAATATAATTTGAAGTGTACATTAATAAAACAAATTGTGAGAACAGGCCGAGCAAATAACGTTTGGATATTAACAGAAAATCAAACCCAAGTTGAATCCAACAGCTTACAACATAAAAATCAGAATCACACTGATAAAAACTTAATTATCCTGGATTTAGAACATCTGTTGACCGTGTCTAATAACTTTCTTATCGAGGTGGAAGGTCTTCACGAGAATGTCAGTGTTAATCTTAGGTGTAGATCCGAACGCAGTGTTTGCAAGTAGAATGGAACCGGGGTTTTGGCTATTGAGAGATGCATAGGCTACGGCAGGAACATGTTCTGGGTTTTTCTGGTAATGGACGAGGCCAGCAGGGAAGACAAACACATCACCCTTCTGAAGAACCTTTGTGAAGAGACGATAGTCGGGGCTCGAGGTCACGAATCCGACTTCGAGTGTACCCTCGATGACGGTGAGGATCTCGGAGCCACGAGGGTGAAGGTGAAGAGGGTTGATTCCTCCGGGCTGGAAGTCGATGCGAGCGAAAGAGATGCCGAGAGAGTTGAGTCCCGGAATCTGCTGTGCATTCAAGAGGGTTACCTTTGAGCCTAGAGGGTTTGATGTGTTTCCAGGTTTGTGAAGTCCGGTGAAGAAGAAATCATTTTCATGAACCAGCTTCAAATCCTTGCAGAGTGGTCCGCTTGCCGTCACTACAATGTGGTACAAATATATAATCAAAGACAAAATAAAACATTACATTGAGAAACACTTATCTTGGACAGTCTCACCACCTCATTGGACAGATGTGGTGAGACCGTTCAATAAAATAAAGATAGTATTGTTAATTTATAACACCATAAGGGTGGAGCCAGAAAATTTATTCTGGGGGATCAAAAAAAAAAAAAAAAAAAAAAAGGATTAAGAATTTTCTCATGCATAAAATAATTAGGGTTTATAAAATTACCTGGACCTTTTGGGTCTGCCACACAAATATCAAAAAGAGGATTGTTATCAGTTGCCAATACAAGGGAGAAAGAAAGAGCGAGGAGGCAAACAAAACAATATGATGTGAGGCCATTTGAAAATGTAATTATAAAAATTAAAAATAAAAGTCTAATTACAATGATTAATGCTTTAAGATATGAGAGAAGAAGAATTTGCAGTTTCTTTTTATAGAGTAAGATTTAGTATGTAAAACTGCAAACCTTCTTCCCTAGCAGCCTTGTATAGCTGTCAAAGACCACATAAGAATGAGGATATAGCACCAATATAAACCAATTTTGTTCATACCAACTTGTTTAATTCTTTTTTTAGCCTAACAGTTGATGGTTCCCCAAGTTTTTCGTCTCTTTTACAGAAACTATCCCAATCAAGATTAAGAATAGTTTAATCTATGTGTTATAAGCTAACAATATGATCAACAATATCTATGCATTAAATTTTTGGGTTTATTTTATCATATATTATTGTCTAACTTTCAATAGATTTGCACATTTACAAAATTTATAAATTTGTTATTCTTTTTTTTTAAAAAAAAAAAAAGAAAACGCATGTGATTCCAATGTGCACTATTTATATTTAATTGACATGTTAAATAAAAAAGAGTATATATAAAACAAGGATTGAGAAAATATAACATGAGTAGTTAAAATGTAAATATAAGGGTTACTTGTAAATCGATGGGATATTTAGACATTTAAATATGTTAAAATTTTATTGGGGTAAATTTAAAGGCTAGGTTTAAGTTAAATTATGGGAGGCCTATAGCACCACTCTTTAAAGTATATACATGACATGTACTCATTTGTACGTATATAGGCAATGTGGTATACTATGTATAGTATACTTGTTCACTAATATCCAAACATTATATATTATTATACATTAGTGTCCAATCATCTGCTTAGCCAACTTAGAGAAGCTTAGATGATTAACAAAAACTTTTTCTGTTTATTAGGAGAAACTCAAATTTTCAAAATTTTCCAGTTCTTTCTATCTTTTTTTTTTTTTAATTAATTTGACTTAAAGAGTTTCCATTCATTTAAGCTTTCATTTTATCTTTCTTCTAACAAAACTTTTATTGCTAAAAATCTCTGATGTTATTTGATCCATATTGATACTCTAGACACGCATTTGTTGTACAAATGTAATTTAAAGTTAAGATTAAGTTTTGATTCAATTTTGAACAAAGTACTTGTGCTTTTTGTTAGAATTTGAGGTGGACCTGACTCCTTACTCAATAAAGTCTTGTTGAATGGAAGGATTACCCTCTTATAACCCAATAAGCTTGACGTGCTTAGTCGATGTGGGACTCCAACACTCCCCTCACGGTCAAGCCCATATGTTGGGTCATGCCTGTTATGGAGGTAGTTACTAGCTCTAACTCCTCACCCGCTAGTCAAGCGCTCAGCTCAACTGAACCTGGACTCTGATACCATGTTAGAATTTGAGGTAGGCCTGACTCTCACCAATAAGGTCTTATTGAATAGGAGGATTACCCCTCTTATAACCAATAAGCTTGAACATGCTAGTCGATGTGGGACTCCAACAGTTTTAATTATATTTTTTTATTTATTATTTTTTTTTTTTTTTTTTTCTTTTTAATTTAATAATTAAGAAATTATCTATCAATGTTGTTGGAATTAGGAAAAATATATGAAATATCTATTTTTTTTTTTTTAAATTTATACTAATATAAATATAAAATAGGCTTTGAGAGTGAGGTGTAAATAGTCTCACGGTTTATATTTACTTAATCTAACTACTAACTACTAACTACTTTATAGAATTTTTATTCTTGCAATATTCTTTCTTCATTTGGAATTTTACCGACTTCTTTTATAAACTTGGGATAAATTCTATATAACTAATAAGTCTATATAGTAATCAATACCCTCAAATTTAATTGATTTTCAATAATTATAAACTGCAAAAGTGATCTCTAGTCCCTAGTCTCAAGCTAGAAGAAAAGCCTTTGCTTTTTTCAAGTTATTTAAGAGAAGGGAAAATCAAAATCAAAAGCAAAAGCAAAATATATAAATAAATAAATAAAAGCAAAATCATAATAATGATAATAATAGCTTCAGCAATTGTCATTCATAGCTTGTCTCTTACAATGAACACATGAAATTAAACTACAAATGAACAAATGAACAAACATGGCTATTTATTGTGATTAAGAATTGAGAACGATTTAAATAAGACAAATGGACAGGTTACACAGAGTAAATGCATATATGGTTGACTTAAAAGTTCGCCTGTAATTGCTCAATCACATTCTTCTCAACCTGGAAAGCCTGTCCAAGAACATCGCTAGAAATGTCAGGCTTAGAACCAAAGACCGCGTTAGCAACAGTGACTGTTCCAGGATTTTGACTGCTAAGACCGGCAATAGCCACGGCATTACAGTTTCCAACGTTGCGCTGGAAGTGCACGAGACCCACCGGGAAAGTGAACACATCGCCAGGCTGAAGAACTTTCACTATGAGACGGTTATCAGGATTGGAAGTGATGAACCCAACCTCAACAGTACCTTCCAGAACAGTCAATATTTCACTGGCCCTGGGGTGAGTGTGAGGTGGATTAATGCCCCATGGAGCAATGTCAATGCGGACCATCGAAATGCCAAGAGTGTTGAGACCTGGAAATTGGGCAACTGTCACTGGAGTCACCCTGGAACCAACTGCATTAGATGTGTTACCCGTCAGGTGTAGCCCACTGAAATGGAAATCTTTGGCTTCGACTAGCTTTGCATCTTTGCAGGCAAAACCATTCACCAGTACTGCCATAAAAAGTAAAATCATCAGAAAACTTATCAAATAAGAAGTCGATGCTTAAAAGGCATCCATTTCTGGAGTCTTCTCCGACGCGTTGTTTGTTTATGTATATAGTACCTGAGCTTGTTGCGTCTCTGACACAAAAATCTTGAAGTGGGCTATGATCAGCTAAGGCAAGTGAAAAAACTAGACCAAGGAATCCTAACAAGAGAATTGTTTTAGTAGCCATTGGAGAATATAAAAAGTAATACGTCTCAAAATCTTAAACAAACGAAGTGGATTTTGATGTGTGAATAAGCATGTAATGTTTCCTCCTTTTATAGATTATTATAGATGTATTGAGAGATGCCGCCCCAATGGGTTGAAATTTTCAGTAAAATGCATGCATAACCAAACAAAGGTGCTTGACCAGTTCTTTGAGCTTGTGCCCTCCAGTTGTATATTAGCTAGGCCTCAGAATGAATTTAATTGGTGTTGACTATCGGCTTGGTCCTTTTTCTGTTGTTTGTTTTGATTTATTCATTCTGGACAATCTCCATCTTCACGAAATTACTATTAACTAATCCACAGGTCATTACTAGCATAATTGCCTGCATAAGTTATCTCATGCTAAGTCGCCATGCCACTCCAAAGAATACGCGGTTTCTTTTTTTTTTTTTGGTTTATTATATATGCTTGGTTATTTGTTTACAATATGTGCTACAACTCTTCATGAATTGATTGGAGATTATCTATAAGTTTAATCTCTATTGATTGCCAGAGATTGTGACATTAATTGAACTAAATTTGTTGTTATGACTCATATGATGATTGTCTGATTCAGGTTTGTTTGGTGTTAAGAGGGTCAGATACTCAGATATAGTGTTCATTTGCTATTTTTATTGTGTATGAAGGTCATAGTGTATTAGTGTCTGCCTGATTTAATGAGGCTTAATCCATATGTATTGGCCCATTTGGACGGCAAGAGAATATTGTGACAATTTTTTATTAGCTTTAACTAATCGTTACACATTAAATTATTCTTACCGAATACAGTTAGATCTCTCATTAATGTGTCGTTTCTTTGGGCTTCGTAAGCCTAATGAGAAGTTATTACTAGTAATCTAGAGTTGTGATCGTGACCATCGTTAAATGGGATGAAATACTTATAATGTTACATATACAAAGTTAGAATAACAATTGACATAATTGTTGATATGTTAGCTCTATATTTACTGTAGAATTTTGGAGATTAAAATTGTTTTTAATTTATAATTATATCACGTTGACATATCAAGAATCATATAAGGTAAGATATAAAATTGAAATATCAACTTTTTAGAATAATATGGGTGCGTTTGTTTAGTTATTTTGAGTAGTATTTTTAAAAATTATTATAAAGTTGAGTTGAGTTATTATTTCGAAAATAGTATTTGAAAAAAAATGTGTTTGGTAGAGTATTTAGTTAAGTTATTATTACGAGAATATGATTTGATATTTGATAGAGTATTTAGTTGGGTTATTATTACAAGAATATGATTTAATATTTGGTAAAATATTTAGGATAATATATTAGAGTTAAATAAATTGTAAAAAAATTGTTTGATATATTTTTTTTTTTATAAAGGATTTATTGATAGAATTCTTTGTTGCCTTTTGTTAAATTAATTTTTATTATTATACCGTAAAAACTTATCAATTAACGTTTTAATATTATTAAATATTTAATTGTTAATTTCGTAATCACTAACTTAAAGACAAATTTGGAACTATTAATTTCAAGTACTAATACATCATTTAAAAAACACCACATTAATACATCTCTGACGAAGCTGCTGATTGTCAACCCTTAGAATCGTTTATACAACTATACTCCATTAACAACTATGACATTGGTCATATGTTGTTTCCACATTTCAGTCGTTATGTTACCCTGCACATGCGCCATGTTGTTAATAATACGTTGCTGCGGTTGACTCGATCCCTCCCCATTTCCTTCATCTGCTACCTTGTTTTGGTCATGCAAATATACTTCCGCAGTAGACTGCTCGAAGATTTCATCCTGCATATTGTAACTTCTGATAAAATTATGAAATACACAACATGCCATAACAATCCGAACTTGTTTCTCCAACGGGTAATTATTCATTCCATCGAGAATCCATAATCTTTTCTTTAGAACACCAAAGGTTCTCTCAACAACATTGCGGAGTGATGCATGTCTGTAGTTAAACAATGCCTGTGGATCATTTCGGTTACGACGACGATCATGTAGATGGTAAGGAACTCATCTATGAAGGGCAAGGAACCCCCCCTCTATTTGCATAACCCGCATCAACCAAATAGTATTTACCTGTAATTAACTCACACATGTTATTTGATATTTCAATCCAAAAAAATAGAGCAAATATGCTATAATACGTAAAGAAGCTAGTTGTACTTGGTGGAGGATGCGGGAATCCAAAATTAGGATCATCAAGAACCGAATTTAAAACCCTTGAGTCATGGGCGGATCCTTCCCAGCCAGTGACGACATAAGTGAACATCATCCTGAAGTCACATACAACCATGACATTCTGCGACAACGTTCTTTTACAATTCCAGAAGACATTGGCCAACTTAGTTGGAACCCAAGCATTGACATGTGTGCCATCAATCTCCTCTATACAGTCCTGTGAACAAAAGATAGCATTCAATAATATCAACCAGCTGTCAACATAAATAACACAATGAACTGAAGTACCTACAAATAATAATAATAATAATATAATAAAAGTACCTTAAAAAATGGGAATACTTTTGGTTGGTTGATATTTCCTCTAGAACTTCACTAAAGTCCGCTGTCTTGATAAACTCTGTCTGCAACCCACGTATCGCGTTGCAAACTTTGCCCACATATCTAGGGATTGTTTCATTCGAATGTTGGAAATCCTCCATAATAGTACTGTATGTCTTGTTTTTTCCAACAGTTTTCAAAAATATCATAACTTGTTCTTCAATACTCATCCTCTTGGAGTCTCGCAAGTTCCCTTGTTGCACCAAAATGTAA